TCACCTGAGTACCGCGACTATCTGTGGGTTGGTGAGGCTGCGCTAGAGTCCCGATTCTGGGTAGTGTGATAATCCGAGAATCAGACCTAAGATGGGAGACCTGGGGTTTGAGCAGGTGCGGCACTGAAACGGAGGGCCCAATACTAGCTTCATGAAAACAACCCGTGTCCCACCTGTTCCCCCTCAGTGGCGCTTGCTCTAACGGTCTCTTCTGTGCAGAATAGAGTTGGCCCACAGAGTGCGGGGTTGGAATTACCTGGCTGTAACAATGGGGGCCTGCGGTCCATTGAAACGTGTGTGTTTTTCCTGCTCAGATCTATTATTATGAACACATTTACTCACTAACTCATCCTTTTAGAGTGCAGTCTTACTCATTATTTAAAAACACACAAAACACTTGTAAAAATGCAAAAAAACAAGGAATGTAACGGACCTTTTCCCCACCCCCCCCAGAGGCAGCTGTTGTCAGGATTTGGGTGTGTCATCTCTCAGTATTTTCCAGGCAGTAGCTTTAGCTGCCAGGCTTGAATCCCAGTCCTTTTGGTGACCTTGGCCCAATTATATAACTTCTCTGTGCTTCATCTATAAAATGGGTGTTACAAGCAATAGCACCTGCCTTACAGGTTGTTAGGAAGAATAAGAAGGTTAATATATCTGTATTTAGAACAATTGCTTGACACAGTGGCACTCAATAATGCTAGTTCTTTATTTTGTGTTTGTTTTTTATTATGTATACATACTCACAATTTGCATATAATTTAGTATCTTGACTTTTTCCTTGATCCATGAGAAAAAAGGATACTAAAATTATATATGGTTTGTGAATACATGCTTACAATATCAAAATATTTCCAAGTTATATAATTTTCATAAATATTGAGGCAAGAGTGACGATAGGGAATATATAAATGGAGTCACTTTAACCAAGCTGCTAAAATTGCTAATGTGATGAAGTTAAGGTCTGAGGATGGATCCTGTTCTTGTTCTAATTGGCCTGGGAACTTGAATTGTTTTGAACTTTCCGGTCTGTGTCAATGCCTTGATACGCATCTGGACACACACCAGACCTCCAGACACCCCCCCAATGAACCCCTAACAGACGCTCACACACTCACCTGGCACCTGTTCTCCAGACCATCGGATGTTACCAGACCTCCTGGTGCCATCTTCTGGGCCAGCTGGCATCCATCATCCTGACCGCCTAACCCAGGGGTGGGCAAACTTTTTGACTCGAGGGCCACAATGGGTTTTTAAACTGGACCGGAGGGCCAGAACAAAAGCATGGATGGAGTGTTTGTGTATAAATTCAAAGTAAACATCATTACATAAAAGGGTACAGTCTTTATTTTTTTTAGTTTTATTAATTTCAAATGGGCCGGATCCGGCCCGCGGGCCGTAGTTTGCCCACGGCAGGCCTAACCCCTGACTCCTAGGCGCCCTGGACCAGCCTGGGGCTAGAAATGCAGGACTGACAATTCTCAATAACGGGCCTTTTAGTCTGTGAATAGTTCCTCTCCTTTGGAACACTTCTGGGTCTTTGCTTAACTGTATTTCGAGGCTGCAAACTTCAAGACCCTTGAATAAATCCCTATCATTTATTTCTAGCAAAGCCACCAGACTCTTTTTGAGTTTGTTTGACAATATCATTTTAATGGCGGCAGAGTAAACCATCAAGTGGAGAGCCTGTGACTTTAGTCAATTATTTTTTAACATAATTCAGATGGTTTCCCTGTTTTTGGTTTTCTTTTTGGCCATTTTAAACAAGACTGCATCTCCTGAGCATCTTTAGACACAAATCCCCCCCCCCCTTTTTAACTTAGGGTAACTTCCAAATAGATTTCCTGAACCCGCACAACTTGGCGACAGGGTGTGAGCATTTTAAAAATCTGTCCTCCACTCTGCTTTTAAAAGTTTTAACAACATTATGCTTTCACGAACAGTGCATATGAGCGTTGTTTCAGCCCCCACTGCAAACTGTCTTCCAGGGGCTGGTTTCAAATGAGCCCAACAGAAAGTATAGTCAACACGTTTTATTGAGCAACTATTATGTGCAGGCAGCTGTTCTAGGCTGCAGGCCCAGCAGGGTGCAGGACAAACTGCTTCCCCTCGTAGGCCTTACCTTCTATGTGACACCAGCCACAAAGCCCGTGCTTCCAAGTGTGTGGGTGCTAATGGATGCAGCACAAACGAAATGTTCCAGGGCCAGATACACTTGGAACACTCTAGCCCAGTGGTTCTCAACCTTCCTGATGTCGCGACCCTTTCATACAGTTCCTCATGTTGTGGTGACCCCAACCATAAAATTATTCTCGCTGCTACTTCATCACTGTCATGTTGCCACTGTTCTGAATCGTCATGTAAGTATCTGATATGCAGGATGTATTTTCATTGTGACAAATTGAATATAATTAAAGCATAGTGATTAATCACAAAAGCAAGATGTAGTTATATATGTGTTTTCTGATGGTTTTAGGCGACCCCTGTGAAAGGGTCGTTCGACTCCCAAAGGGGTCGCGACCCACAGGTTGAGAACTGCTGCTCTAGACTCTATGGCATCGATGATTTATAAGGAAACTGTTTGTGATGGCGCAGAAACTTCCTTCCTTTAATCTGACCTTTCCTCCTTCTTTCCTTTTGACTCAAACTGGCCTTGTCCAGCCTGGAGCACCCTGATTCACCCCCTCCCTCTCCCTCTCCCGACCCCTCCCTGAGTCAGTAATCCCTCAGGACAGTGAGGCTTGGTCAGCAGCAGATAACCTTAGACACAAAGCCTCTGGCTGTTGGAGTTAGAGGGTTTATTAGGTGGTTGCATACATATGGCTTCATTTTTTAAAAAAAATATATTTTATTGATTTTTCACAGAGAGGAAGGGGGAGGGACAGAGAGCTAGAAACATCGATGAGAGAGAAACATTGATCAGCTGCCCCCTGCCCACTCCCCACTGGGGATGTGCCTGCAACCAAGGCACATGCCCTTGGCCAGAATCGAACCTGGGACCCTTGAGTCCGCAGGCCGACGCTCCATCCACTGAGCCAAACCGGTCAGGGCACGGCTTCATTTTTATTCCGAGTCTCAGGACACCCCATTTTCTAGGGGTGAAACTTCTCAGCTCACCTGGGCCTCAGGACGGATTTCTGGGCAGGGATTTTGATGCCAGCGACCGCTGCTTACCTCTGGGTGATCCAGACAATAGAGGAACACGGAAGACGCCCGATGCCCCTGCAGCCAGACCCCTTTCCCACCGGCTCTGGGCCGTGGGCACCTGCGGAACCCCCACTGCAGGCACAGCCCCGCAGGGACCGGCTGGGGCCCAGAGCAGCCCCTTCCCCCTGTACAAACCTACGTTGTTTGAACATTAGTTGTTCTAACAGCCCAGGCCATGGAGTCCAAGGGACTTGCCCGAGGCCACAGGCCAGGGCAACAGCAGCAGCAAAACCCGGACGTCAGAGATGGATTTTTATCTTTTATGCTGACTTTTGATTTAAAACAAAGATTTCTCGCTGTTTTGTTTTCTCATGCCACATGTGTGTGTCATGAACCATCAATTGCATATGTTTTAAAAAATGTTTTAAGGAATCTTGGGGAAGGGGAATGTGCACAATGTGCACTGCACTCACTTTAAAACCGCGAAAAATCGGAAACAAATGTCTGTGCGTAAGAAGATGGTTTTTAAAATCGTGCGGCCATTACAGTGAGATTGGCCACATATATGCAAGGACATCGGAAACTATTTCATGACACTGAAGAAAGAACTACAAATTGCCTCCTGTATTTCCCTCCAACGAGCCTGTGTCCCCACCACAATCAGGAGAAGAAGAAGGCTGCCCCGGGGCTGCCACGTCGCTACTGGGCCCGTGGAGGCCACGCTCTGGTCCTGACGGCTCAGCTCCTGGCAGCCGGGCACAACTCAGGCGGACGCGTTCCACGGCCTCCACGTCTCCTGCCACGGCTCCTCCAAGGCTGACATCAATGTGCGCGCCCCCGCCCGGAGGACACGTCCTTTTCCTCTGTCTACTTTTTTAAAAATTGATTTTAGAGCGAGAGGAAGGGAGAGAGAGAGAGAAACATTGATATGAGAGAGTGGGACATCGATCCGCTGCCTCCTGCACCCATTCTTGAAATCTGTGGGGCCCCCTGTTAGGGATGGAGCCCTTAACCCGGGCATGTGTCCTGACCTGGGGTTGAACCAGCAGCTTTTGGGTGCAGGGGCCGATGCCCAACTGATGGAGGCACCCCGGCCAGGGCTCTTTTTTTAAAAATAATTAAACTTCCTGGGAATGACGCTGGTCAATAACATCATATAAGTTTCAGGTGTGCAACGTCATGATCTGACACCTAAGTACTCGATTGTGTGCCCCACCCCCGGAGTCTAGTCTCCTGTGGCCATGGACTGACCCCCTCACTTTCTCCATTCTCCTCCACCCCGCCCCCTCTGGCAACCACCACAGTGTTGTCCACATCTGTGATCTTGTTTCTTTTGTTCACTGCTTTCTGTTTTATATCCCACG